GTCCTTGGTGCATTTTCCATAACAAGTCTTCGTTCAATCAGAGTTGCCAACTGATCAACATTGTGAAATATTAATTGTTGCTTTTTTTGAAAATTAGCAATCTTTCAACTGTCCTGTTAAGTACATGACAAAAAATTTTGACAGTGTCATTTTTTTTCAATAATACTCGTATGTAATGTTGACAATCAGATCTGTAAATCTTGATTTGACTTAACATCATATGAGATGACACCATCCTGGAATTCATCCATTAGAGAGGCAGGAGAATCCAACAATGGATCGTACACTGACAATGGAACACACATTTTGGGAAGTTAAGGAGGCCACTGTGGGACCTCTTACAGAAATATTTGTATCATCTATAACTGTGGGTGAGGTGCCAGATGACTGAAGAGTGGCTAATGTTGTGCCTTTGTTTAAGAAGGGATGTAAGGAGAGTTGTGGGAACTATAGATGTGTGAGAATGACTTTAATGATGGGTAAGTTGTTTGAGGTGATTCTGAAAGATAGGATTTATATACATTTGGAGAAGCAAGGAATGATTAGGGATAGTCAGCATGGTTTTGTTGTAGGTTGACTCACAATGCCATTAGGGTTGGTGTTCCAGGATTTTGACCCAGCAACACTGAAGGAACAGCAATATATTTCCAAATCAGGATGGTGTGTGGCTTGGAGGGGAACTTGCAGGTGCAGGGAAGAAGATTGATGAGGTAAAGCAGTAGACATTGTTTACTTCGACCTCAATAAAGCCTTTGACATGATTCTGCATAGTAGAATTATTAGTAAAGTTAGATCACATGGGATTCAGGATGAACTTGCCAATTGAATACAAAATTGGCATAATGCCAGGAGACAGAGAGCGGTGGGTGGATGGTTGTTTTTCAGACTGGAGGCCTGTTGCCAACGGTGTTCTGCAGGGATCAGTGCAGGGTCCACTTTTGTTGTCATTTACGTAAATGATTTAGATGAGAATATTAGAAGACATGGTTAGAAAGTTTGCAGATGGTTATCTAAGATTACAAAGAGATCTTGGTCAGTTGGGTCAATGGGCTAAGGAGTAGCAGATGGAGTTTCATTTTGATAAATGTGAGGTATTGCATTTTGGTAAAACAAACAAGGGCAGGACTTATACAATTAAAAGTAGGGTCTTGGGTAGTGTTGTAGAACGGAGAGATCTAGGGGTTCAGGTACAAAATTCTTTGACGTTTGCATCACATGTAGACAGGGTGGTTAAGAAGGCACTTAGCACGCTAGCCTTCGTTGCTCAGACCTTTGAGGATAGGAGCTGGGACATCATGTTGAGGCTGTACAGGATGTTGGTGAGGCCTCTTCTGAGTACTGTGTCCAGTTCTGACTGCCCTGTTATCGGAAGGGTAATTATTAAGCTGGAGAGGGTTCAGAAAAGATTTACCAGGATGATGCTGGGAAAGGAAGGTTTGAGTTATAAAGAGAGGCTGGATAGGCTGGGACCTTTTTTGCTGGAGTTTAGGAGTCATAGAGTCACAGAGATATACAGCACAGAAACTGATCCTTCGGTCCAATTTGTCCATGCTGACCAGATATCCTTAATTAATCTAGTCCTATTTGCCAGTATTTGGTCCATATTCCTCTTAAACCCTTCCTATTCATATATCCATCCATATGCCTTTTAAATGTTGTAATTGTACCAGCTTTCATCACTTCCTCTGGCAGTTCATTCCATACATGCTCCGCCTTCTGCGTGAAAAAGTTGCCCCTTAGGTCTCTTTTATATCTTTCTCCTCTCACCTTAAACCTATGCCATCTAGTTTCGGACTCCACTACCCTGGGTAAAAGACCCTGGCTATTTACGCTATCCGTGCCCCTCATGAGTTTATAAACTTCTATAAGGTCACCCCTCAGTCTCCGACGCTCCAGGGAAAATATCTCCAGCCTATTCAGCCTCTCCTTGTATCTCAAACCCTCCAACCCTGGCAACAGATTTGTGAATCTTTTAACAACATCATTCCTATAACAGGGAGACCAGAACTAAATGCAGTATTCCAAAGGTAGCCTAACAAATGTCTTGTACAGCCGCAACATGATCGGGGTTGAGTAGTGACCATACAGAGATTTATAAAATCATGAGGGCTATAGATAAGGGGAATGGTGGGTGTCTTTTCCTGAGGATGGGGCATTTCAAGACAAGGGGCATATTTTTAAGTTGAGAGGAGAAAGATTTGAAAAAGACATGAGGGGCAATCTTTTTACACAGAGAGTGGTTCGTGTGTGGAATGAACTTCCAGAAGAAGTGATGGATGCGGGTACAGTTACAATATTTAAAGGACATTTGGATAAGTACATGAATAAGAAATGTTTGGAGGGATATTGGCCAAGCGCAGGCAAATGCGACTATTTTAGTGTAGAATTACGGTCGGCATGGACTGGTTGGATGAAAGGGCTTGTTTCCATGCTGTGTAACTTTTTTTCTTGATTAAATTTCATCCTGCTGGTCAAGCTGAGATTGAAATTTGTAGATACCCAGGAACAGGACAAAAGCACTTCCCTTCAATCAGAGTGATATATTGAGAGACAAAATAGAGAGATTTAAGTATATTTTCAATGGGAAAATAAAAGCTATTTTAAAAATAATTGTCTAAGTCAAAATCTATAAGCAATCCAGAATTTAAGTCATGGTACACATTAACAATATTTTACTTTGTCTTCAAGTTTCTTGCATTAATAGGCTGAAGGTGTTGCTTATGTTGGTCCTTTCACCAAATTGCTATATGTTTAGTTATATAAACTAAAGTATTCCTAAGGACATACCACCTCAATGACAGGGGGGAATCAAAAATGCAGATTTGGCACTTCATATAAATATTTTTATGTTGAGTTCAAGGGGGGACAATGCCAAACAATTTTGTGAACCTTGAGTCAAGGCTGAGTACGTGAACATGGAAGCAAATTAATTAGAACACTAGATATTACAGAAAAGATATTACCCTGAAAAGAATTCTTTGGGTAATCTTCAAGATTTTGGCTAAGAAAAGTTTAAATTGCCTTTAATTTTTGATCAAATACTATTTTTTCTAACCTGTTATGAAGCTATGAATAATAAGAAAAAATGGTAAGTGTATAGCCAGTGAACTGAAGTATCATATTTATTTAGCGCACTTTTTCTTGTACTTCTCATGTCAATTGTACTGACAATATAAATGGGTTATCTCCAAACCTTCATTTTGTCACATTTTTCTGCCTCTCTTCACACGTCACATTTAGGCTAACCATTCAATTGAAATAAAGTATGTAGAAGTTAAATATCTTGCTCTTTAGAAGTTCAAGACCATGGTGTTTTAATCCTTTTTTTTGGTGTTTTCAGATGGACTACCACTTTAAAAAAAAAGGTTTGAAAAATATTGACATAATTGCATCAATGCCTCAGGTTGTTGGAATGGAAAACTGCAATGTTCACCTTACTAATTACAATAATTCTTCTGCATTAGAGTGGGGTGGTGTGCAACTCCATTTTTAAACATTCTACTTGTACAATCAGGAACTTGTTGACATTTTACACACGGAGTGCTTCTGGTTTCTCTGACTCCGGTTACGTTATTAGTTTGAATTCCGATTTTAAGTGTGAGGTAGCAGACAGAAGATGGTGACACCTACCCTTGCAGAGTGCAGATAAGCACTGATAAGCGTCCTGCTTTATCTTGGACAAAGCATTGACCCAGGCTGCAATTTGGAGGAGGTTGAGATGTGACTTGATAGAGGTGTTTAAAATCATGGTGGCTTTTTAAGAGTAAGTGGAAACTGTTGTCATTGGTGTTGAGAACCAAAGGACAGTCATGTGATTAACAAAAGAACCAATAGCAAAATGTAAAAGACAATTTTACGCAGTGGGCATTTAGATTGTGGAATTCATTGCCTGAGAATGTGCTGGAGGTAAATTCAATTGTAGCTTTTGAAAGAGAATTGGATACATATCCAAAGAGAAGAATTTTTCTGGGCTATGAGGGAAAGGGCAGAAAGGTGGCATAAACTGAGTTGCCCTTGCACAGAGCCATCACAGACATTTTGGCCTGCATGACCTTCCTCTGTTTTGCAACCATTTTATGACTGAAGGATTTCAATTGTTTTCCTTTTTACGTTATTCCCCTGTCTTGTTGCTTTTCCTGTTCCATTCATCTTCTTTCCTCCTTCCTTTTCCCATCATTTGTTCCATTTCCAACCAACTTCCTTTCTTTCTGAGGTAGTAGGATCAAATGTAGTATCTCCGCTGCTGCACTGGCTGAGATCAGCTACAACTGGTTCTCCTAAATTGTGATAGTAGCATTTTTGTGTGGCCTCGCACTATAGCAAATTGCCATAGAAAATCGCGTTGTAGGGAAATCACTATAGAAAATTGCTATACCTGTACAACAGAAAGTTCGTGTTATCCAAACAGCATCCTTTATGCATTAATTGCATTACAGCCAATTCGTGTTAACATGACACGCATTATAGCTGTGCTACCTGTAATTATAAAATAATTGGGATTAAAGCTGCGATCATTTGGTCTGTATGACCTGGTACTACTCATGAGGACATCTACTTAGTTAGCGGCCTCATATTTCAAAACCATTTCCTTAGGACTAAACTTTAGAGCTTTAGTGTTCCACCAATGCCTGTTGTAAAATTTGTTAAGGGAGTGTCATATAAAAGAAGCAATGGAAATAAATCATTAAAGATATTTTATTTCATCTTTGCATGAATAATCCACTCAACAATAAGCTTTGCTGTGACAAAATTGAAATTACGATCATGAATTTTGTACTAAAAATCTGGTGGAAATATAATTGCATGGTATTTGTGTTAATTAATTGTGTACAATTAATTGCACTGCTTGTGCTACATTACAGTAAGGTAGTGCAAATCTTTGAAATAGTTAATTTTCTACTTTTGCTTAATGGGCACAAACAAAGTATTTTTCATTATTTTTGTGCCAACATAATGATTGATTGAGAACACAAGTCATGGACATTACTTGTCCTCTGCAGAGAAGGCAATTGAAACGAGACTTGCAAAAATTGACCACGCTGCTGTACACCCTCACCTGTTGGATATGAAGATTGGGCAGGGAAAATATGAATCTGGATTCTTTCCCAAACTGCAGTCAGATGTGCTTTCCTCTTCACCAGCCAGCAATAAGTGAGTAACTTGGATGTATCCCAGAGTATGTAGATTGCTCAGTTAGATTTTCCTATTTTTCTATGTACAGTGCACTGTCCTCTGTTTCAGTTCAATTTGACAGAACTTTGTTTTGCAGTAATACAAACATATAAAATTTATAAAACAATGTTTTGATGTCTGCACATCACACTTCTGACAAAATCACTATTGAATTAAGTTAATTAGTGGAGCTGGCTCGAAGATCTAAACAGCATCCTCCTCCTCCTCTTTCTTCTGCTGATTACCCTAAGGTGATCTGAGTTTTCATTGAAAAATTTAACTTATGTGTTCATGGTTGATTGATTAATCTACCAAGTTTTGTGTTTCACTGTTCCTGATTGACTCACATTTCATCTCCATGAAATAGCATTCATAAAAGATCAGACAGATACCATATCACTTGAACGTAGAGATAGATGTGAACACACAATGGAATAATATACAGGATATCTGAAAATAACCAGTCTTGATTGACTAGTCAGTGTACCAGTGGCTTTCCTTATTTCTTCTGATCTTCACTGATTTTTATAATCAAAGGACAAGATCAATGAAATTAGTTGCATTTTTTTCATGTAATTAGTTTTTGGCTATCATATGATTTTTTTTTAACTTTTGAAACAATATCACCAGATTCCATGAACAGTCATACTGTTGAAGTGACTGTTTTTAGGATATTATACGTATGGATATGGCAGTAGATTGGAAAGGAGATATGCAATTGTGTATTTAATATTATTGTTATAACATGTTAAGTCTTTTTTAAGGTGGGTAAAACGGAGTGCTCCTGCCCAGTGGAGACGAAAGGACAGACAAAAGCAACATACAGAACACCTGCACCTGGATAATGATCAAAGAGAGGTCAGTTATTTCATTTGCAGTTTTTATTTGGGATTTTTGACAACAGCTATTTTTAAAGGAACAATTTAATACTTCGGACTTCTGTGCTGCGTAATTTGTAGCTAATGAATTATTTAATACATTTTTGATGAGCTTCTAATTGGTTGTAGCTTTTTCAGCAGTTATAAAATGATCAGAAATAGGCTTGGACTCCAAAGGGGTTCAATTTGGTTTATACACTTTTTAATACATTAGTTAATGTGCTTGTGTACATTTTCTCCATTGTTCCCCTCATGTGTTGGGTGTTTTTAAAGTAAGTTTGTGCATTTCTTTAGGAACATCACATTGAAGGATCTTCCAAAATAATGTAGTATTACTGTGCGTAATTGTATATTAATTCAATCATGTGCAAGCGAACTTTAGAAAGCATAGTAAATCATTAGATTAGTGAATAATTCAGAGAACAATGTATAATAAGGAATTTGATGTTAAAGTGTATAAATTCACAAAACTTCCAATGTGGTAAAACAATAACGTGAAGAATCTACAGGGAAATATAATCAGTTGGTATAAGTGGAATGCCATTTTACTTTTATCCACAGAGCCATCTTGAAAAGGAATTTGGAGAGAAAAAAAAGTCTATTCGCTTGTACAGAGGATAAACTTGGGTCTTGGCCATAAAATCATAGATTAGTTTCAGCACAGAAAAAAGTAATTTGGCACATCAGATCCGTGCCAACCTGCTGTAAGAGCAATTTAGCTAGACCCACAATCGAGCCCTCTTCCCAAAGTCCAAAGATTTTCCCCCCTTCAAGTGCTCACCCAATTTACTTTTGAAAGCTACAAGTGGATCTGCCTTATATCTAACTTTCAGCCAGTGTGTTCAGATCTCCTAATTCGTGTATCATCTTCAGGTTTAAGTATAGATATAGAGACTAGCCCTTTCTACCATTTGGGACTAGTGGGTTGTTGATTTGTGAAATGACAAGCCAGGAAATGTGCATAGGACATTCACTTTTAGGCTTGAACCTCTTAGATAGCAGTAATTGAAAGTGCTATATTTCAAAATCTGATTATTCTCAAAAGCAGCCAGCTATTTTTGATTTGGAAATTCTTTATCTGATTTCAGTTCAATTTTTACGTATTAGGCAACTTGTTCTGTTTTTGTTGCTTTCTGTAATTATTTACTTTCATGTTCTTTCTCTATCTGCCTGTCTTTATAAGGTTGAATTTTTTTGTACTGCTTTATTCCTTTCCTTTTGTTACCCTGGTGGTCTGTCTCTGTGTCTCGCTCGCATGTTCTTGTCTCATCAGCATGTGAATTGTCTGTCACCTGGACGAAAGATCGAATTGTATTTCAACATGGACACGCATGACGAGACCACTCGACCTCTACAAAATCTGGGTCTAAGTTTTATCTGGTACATTAAAGGGGCTTACCTCTCTTCAGTCAAATAGCACCTTTCTCTATGTTTCTGGTCATTGCACACATCCTTCACAACCTTGATAAGTCCATCAGTTGTAATGTTTGTGATGTTGAGATGTATCTCTTTGAACACTGTTACTGTAGGCACTGTAAGCTTATACATAAAACTTTGAAAGTGCGATAGAAAATCCTCTGTGGACAGTTTTCAAAAATATTCCTATTGGCTTCAGCTGTCTGTGAGTCCAATAGTAAATGGCTTAGTTGTTTTTGTTTATTCATTTGTGGGTCATGGGCATCACTAGCTGGCCATCATTTATGGCCCATCCCTAGTTGTCCTTGTGATGGTGGTGGTGAGCTGCTTTCTTGATCCAAAGGTTGATGGAATTTTCCAAATATTGTATTGGGCTCGGTAATCAATGCTGATATCTTTCCATTTATTAAAAAGTTGGCCAGTATTTGTCACAATGGGTAAATATGATGCACCAGCTGGTTGTTTTTATATGTTTATATGTGAACATTCTGGTACAATAAATTGAATTTATTTACTGGACCAAACGAGGCTACGATTCATGAATGGCAGATTCTAGAACATTGTGGGATTAAAATGTGGGTCTGTGCTGACTCAATGATACATGACATTAAGTCTACTGCTAACATGCAACATAAGAGCCACATGGACTAGTTGAGTCAAGCAGGCTAACGGTGTAATTTTTGGTAATTCTTATGAAGCTCAGCATGGAGGATGTGGTGACAATGGCCAAACTATTAGCAGCATTTTAGGAAAATTTAATTCCCTCAAGATTAAAAATAATACAGTAGAGAAATGGAATCCTTCTGCATATGACAACTCACTGTTGTTTGTAGCATTCACTAAATTATCTTGCTGATCTTCCCTTCGCCTAACAAACGTATGAACCCATTACATTTAGTCTTCCTTTTTTCTGATCAACATCCAAGTCTGGGTGACAGAACTGAGACCGCAGAACTCTGAGAACAGTGTGCCTCCAGCTTTTGTTGGAGATGTGAAGCCCTCTGCTGTGATTAAATTGAAGAACTGTGAATACCTGTTTCATTTCACAGGTAATCGTTGACTTGGCATGTTTCTTCACTGCCAAACATTGGGCAAATTTTCAGCAATACCTGTCATTTAAAATATTTGCAATTGTGTGGGTGATGGCAGAATTGGATCTGGCCCACTGATCCCAGAAGCAGTTTGGATGCAGGGCAGGGGCCGATGCTGATTGGTTAGAAAGCCTGCCTCAGTTCACAGGGTCTTTACCAGGATTGTATCAAGGCTGTAAGACAATCTTGCATTTAGCCTTCATCCCCACAACCCCTTCCTGCCCCACACATGCCTGCTATGCTCCTTTCATGACCCTCCTGCATTCTTCACGCCCACTAACCTAGTATGCACACTGATCTAATGAGTCCCACAAAAATCTCCTTTGAAACAGTTGATTGTGGTTTTTTTTTAACCAGATGGCCTCATTATGAATGCTTAGCTAAGCTCCATGAATGGCTAATGGATTAGTTCTGCAATGGATTGTTTTCACAGTTGTAGTGTCTTGCTTTAATTGATTTATTCTTTGTGATTGTAAGTAATTCTTCTTTCAATCTTTTTCTTTTAATATCTGTACATTTGTTTGTTCGCAAAAGATTAGGAGCTTTGAAAAAAGCTTATGCTATTAATGCTATAATAGCACCATCTGATTGAAATTTTTATATGATTATAAGAGCAGCAGTTTGTTCTGGAAGGAGGTTTTTTAATGGATTCTTTTTTAAAATGCATTTCAATACCTGCCATTGTTATTATGAATCATTGGTTCTCTAATGAATATTCTGTTTTTGGGCATGGAGGATGCGGAAGGCATGGAGGTGACAAGGATGAGATATTTTGAACATGTGCTTCAAATGTTTCCTGAATCCAGATTATGGTTCTTTACTCTTTTGAAGGGCTGTGATCCATGTGACTTCAAAGCTGGCCTGACTCCACAAAAGTTGTGGGGAAGTGGTATTGTGAGATACCTACCTCTACAGTTGAGTGGCCAAGTTGTGTAATTGTATGTTGCAGGCTTGCTACCCACATTGGTATAACTTGCTGATGTTAGGAATAAGATCAGAAATTCCCAAATAGGGCATCTTGTAAGGGTCTCTACAAAATTGTATGTTTGAAAATGAACGAAATTAACTAAAACTGACTTCCTTTGAGTTGACTGTTTGGTATTCTATATCTTGTTCTCAAGTTTCCACAGGAAAGAAAAATATGGATTTTCAATCTAGAGTAAATAATAACACTTCATATCGCATTCTTGATTTGCGTGTCAGAGGTAACGAGGTTTATCTGGAATCAGGAGTTGGGGAGAGAGTTATAGTACCATTCCTTATGAATAATTTAAGTAGATGCATGAAATTGTTAAAAATGCAACCAGTACATTACAGTAGGAAAGTCCTTTTTGTTCCTCACATAAGTGGCTATTCCTCATGTATGAAGCTCGAACAATGGAGTTGATGAATTGTGTACACATGCGCAAAAACACACTCCCTCTCTTTCTTTCTTTCTCTCTCTCTCTTTCACACACACATATTTTGTTGTCTCCTAATTCATTCATATGCCCAGAAAAATTTTAGTCCACAGATTATTAATATGATACCTTCCATCTGATTTTGCTTGTTTGCTCTTTGCCTTTGATTACATCTTACTGCTTTTCTTCCACAACAGTAACTTGCTCAATTAAGCTATCAGATTAATGTGTTATTGGGCTGATAAATTCCCATTGATGTTTAATATATTTCTCTTCAAATGATATGTTTGGTTTCAGTAAATATGAAACAATCAAGACTGTGTGTCTTTATTGTTTTTAGAAAATCCCTCCAACCCAATTGAACTTAATCTGGTTAATTGATTCCAATTCCTTATTAATATCTGATAAAATTCTCGAAGTTGCTAAGGATCTTTTTACTGCTAGAAGTAAAAAGCATAAAAGATCCATTCCATTCAAGGTAGAAAGTGCTAATTCAGTGGCATGCAATCTTAACTTTCCCCAGCAAAAGGCTTAGCTTCTATTTTTTCTATTTCTCCAAAGGGGCAGAGCAAAACAATCCTTAATTCATGCCATTGAGTCATTTTGAGCTTTTTCTTTAAACTTTCCTGAACAATAGGGAGCAAGTCTCTGTTTCAAATTCTGCCTCTTTTTATCAGTACAAAAGTCAGCAGTATTTTAGATTAATGCCAATTATCTCCAAAAGTTGATTTTTAAGCTGCTTTCTCAAAACGATCTTTGTCAAATATTATTAATTCTAATATTTTTAACCCACTGTATCAAACGAGGCCATTTGTTTCCAAGTTCCAATTTGCAGGATCCAAATTAAAACTTAAAACCCTTTAAAGAATTGTATAAGGAACAAAATCCTCAAATCTTTAAACTTTGCAAGATTTCTGAACTAAGATCAATCCGATACATGATTAATCAGAATTATTCCAAACCTCTCAATTTGCACTATCAAAACACTAATGGAAAATCATCTCAAACATGTGTGGACCTTCTATCCAGATTAAAAATCCCCAACTGATGACAGGGTATTTTGATTAATAAAAATCTAGCCAGTAACAATTATTCCAGAAACAAAAACAGAAGTTGCTGGAAAATCTCAGCAAGTCTGGCAGCATCTGTGGAGAGAAATCAGAGTTAATGTTTTGGGTCGATTGACCCTTCCACAGAACTGAATTCTGATTTCTCTCCACAGATGCTGCCAGACTTGCTGAGCTTTTCCACAACTTCTGTTTTTGTTTCTGATTTACAGCATCCCCAGTTCTTTTGTTTTTTTTTCAACAATTATTCCAGGCATTATCTTGAAAAATGCTTTTTTTATTACCATTCCCACAAATTGCATTACTAATCTTTCCTTCAAACTTTTGAAGTGCAATAAGGTTAATTCTCTAGAAGAAACTTAACCACTTTAGCTTAATCAAAAGAAACCTGCAAGCTTTCCATACCCTTACACACAACCTCTGCAATACTCATACAATTTCACTGGTCTCTACTCTCAAAACTTTAACTCTGATTCTCTCTACTGATTTTGCCAAACCTGCTGAGTTTCTTCAGCAAACTTACTGTTTGTATTTCAGTTTTCCAACATCTACAGTTCTTTGCTTTTACTTATATGCCTTTTATCATGTTTATTATTCAACTTTACCTACAATTTTGTACTGTGATGTTTCACATACTATAAACACCAACAGTTTTAAAACATACAGAATCAGGCACAGAGGATTAATCAATATCTACTAGCACCAACAGGAAACTACACTACAAAGAAACAAGAACAAAGCCATTAAACAGACAACACATTGTTTTAATGGTAATCTAGAGTTCAGTAGTGCTTTCAGTTTATATCAATTCACAGAAAGTAGAAATTGATGCCAAATTCACTTGTATATATCAACTTTACGTGTGGCTTGGTGGGAGTGGAAATAGCAAATTTTTGCTTGTGACCTAAAACACAAGCTGCCTATTTTCTCTTATTTCAACAATCACTATTGTCTGTTGCCTGCTTGATTTCCCTTTAATTCCAGAATTCTCTTAATACATGCTGTAATTTGAATTCTCTGATGGCTGTAAACCTCACCGCATTTATCAGCAGAGTGAAGTGTGCCAAAACTGCATCTCCCCAGCTCCCTGGAAAGAATTGGTCAATTGCGCTCATAACATTCCTCCTCAGATACTTGATTTGTGAATGCAACGTTTTGTTTTTCTTCCATTATTTTTCAACCTCTGCCTGTTCTTGTAACCTGTCCTAACAGACTCGTTTAAAGATGATATGCACATAGTATTGCAATTGCTTTTTCTTCCTTTCCCTGGGGCTGCTCGTCCAACAACGCCTCATGCTTTTCTACAGCCTAGTACAGATTCAAGCCTTCCTTAGACATTATCTTATTTTACTCTGCAGTAATTCAGTGAGTGACCTTTTGGGCCCCCATCTACATTTCTGTCCCAATGGCTGATGTTACTTTTATAGTTTGATGGTTATCTTTCTTGGAAATGACCTTCTTCATTTCACACCATTGGGCTAGAAAATTGACTCTCCCATTTTACCCTACTGGTTCCTTTTCTAGGAAATATTTTCCCATGTTTTGCCCTGCAGCCAATCTCAATTTGCTCTAGTTTACCCTGAGATCAGTTACACCTCCTTGAATACCCAATGAAATGAATTGCGTTCGTAGTGTCATGCCATTCTAATTACTGCACCCATTCCCTGGTTCAGATCTACGATTTGGCATATTAGCTGTTGTTTTGAACACTGACTTCTCTAACTAATGAGTGGTAAAATAAGCACACCCCCTTTCTTTTACATCAACATTTGATATAATGTCCCAATAGATATTATAAAGAACCTGCTTGCAGCACCAAATTGTTGTGATTTTAGAAGCATTTTGAGTCTTGGTACAGCTATAATAGACTTTATTTACAAGAATAACATGAGGAAAAACGCATGTGATTACCAAATTGGGTACATTTCCCTTCATGCGTAGAGAAAGTGCTCATTGCTATATATCCAATCTGTGGAAAAAAAATGTGCATTTAAATATCAGTCTTAATCAGTTGCCTCACTTTTGAAAGAGGCTTTTGTGGAGCATAAACATTGTCATAGATTGATTGGCTTGTTTCAGTGCCACAAACGCTATGTAATCAAACTATGTAAAATCCTTTCCTTCAGTTGCGTAACAGCATGAAGAGTTAGGTGAGCTAATTTCTGAATTTTGAAAGAATTAATTTTTCATCAATGAATGAAATTGAACAGTGAATCCACATACTTTAACCACAATTATCCTATTAGTTATACTGCAGTTATTTTAAAGAAAATCATCCGAGCTGATGGTAGTATCATACAAGTCAGATCCCAGAGTGAAACCTGCCTTGATAGATCCTTACTTTCGTTTTTGCAGTTGGTTACTGAGCTAGTTAGTCACTGAACGTATTCATGTGATGCTGCCAATGTTTTTAACAAAAGGACATAAGCTTATTACACAAAAGAAAAAAAATCAAATAAAGTTATATATAATAAAGTTTAGAAGGATCTTAATATTATCACCAACTAAAAATTTGGCCTTCTCCTAAAATTAAACTGTTCTTCTGAGCTGATTCTTTTCAAACTACAAGTGACCATATTTCTGTATGTTGTAAAACTGAACAATGTAAACAGTTGATCAATTTAACTCCACAGGGAGCTTGCTGGGTATTTAACATAAGATACATGCTTTCTTCAACATGATAATTGAGTTCACTATTCTAAATGACTTTCTGACCTCTTTTCTAAAAAAAATGTTGGCCTTATAGAATTCAAAATAAAACCCTAAATTCCCAAATAAAAGAAATATATTATATACCTATGTCATAATAGTATCAAGCCATCAAAAGTTTTCAGGATTTTTAACCTAAGAAGTTTTAAAAAAAACTCACCTCATATTTCCTCCCATATTGCATTAGCATAAAACCCATTATTTTCTGAATGGATTCTCCTCGACTTTCTTTGTAATGCTAATTTGTGCTGTGTTCCCAGCATTTTCTTTTGTTTGGTAATTGCCAAAGTACTCCAAACTCTTTGGAAAATATGTGTAAAATATCTAAAGCTTATTTCATTTTATGCCTGGGGTGTAAAAGGGCAAAGAAATTGCCAGTACATTATACAATATAATACAACACAGCACAGGTACAAGTCCTTCAGCCCACCAGCCTGCACCAATTCCTAGTTCTTATGTAAACCTGCTACATATAGTTGGAAAGTTTTTTTCTAATGACATTTCAGATCATTCATTGATTTAAGGTTTGGGATCTGAAGGATAGGATTTAAAACATATTTTCAGCAGTTACACAAAATACAAAAACCCACTTCACACAAACTAGATACAAGGGTGCAATCATTTGTGCATATAACTCTGCCCATAACTGGAAATACTTGTTCAGTGTACAGTTCACTGCCAATTCTTGGGTTAACATGTACAACGTACAATTGAAATGATAGAATATAAGTGGAGAGTTCAACTGCAGTATTGAAGGTTACTGCAGAATTTTTGGCGGGTATTTAAAATTCCCTACCATTATATCTGAACTTTTCTTCTAAATGTCACTCTGGAAGTTTATTGCTGTTAGTTGATTTGAAGGGGCAGATTTTCCATTGGCCAGGCAGTCATAAAGCCAGTTTAGGTAAGAGTTACACATGAGGACCCTGCAAAATTCCCTTTGTAGTACTCTCCAATGGAATTGCATGGGAAATTGAATTTTCCTCTGTATAATTTGTCTACATTAAAACATTCTAAAAACCTCCATCAAAAACTTGCAATGAAATTAAATAAAATTGTGACCAGGAAATGTTAGACTGTTAAATACATGGGCTAACTTGCGAGTAATTGTTCAACAGACTTCATACTTATCTCACACACCCCTAGACCATTCAGAGCACCCAGACCCTGACCTGACACTTCAGGACCCAATACACTCCTAGCCACTGGGACCTGACACCCTCAACCCCTATCTGATACCCCTGTTTCCCAGGACCCAACAAATCCTGATCGCTGAACCCCACGAACCCCTATGCCCTTGCCACCAGACCTGATCCATCCCGCTGCTACCTCAACATCACCATTGGAAACAATTTCCTTACCCGTGATGGTCCTGACCTGACTCCTCCATTGCCAAACCTGAACTTCTCAGATCCAACACCTATCCTTCCCCACCTCAAACCCTCAGCAGCAGCCCCCTCCAAGTGGCTGGACCTGATTTCTCCAGTCTACTCCAACCTGATCTAAACACTTAGTTGCCTACTTTTCCAATTTGTACCCTATCCCATCCCAGCTAGCAACCCACACTACCTGCACCCTGCTTACCTGGCACTCTACCCATTTGATATTCTACTTATCTGTCAGCCTAACCCCTGACTATTTTTGCATCCTACCACCTGGCACCCTAACCCTCCCCAGCTGGCTCCTTACCCATGTGGCACCCGACTAAATTGGTACCCTACTTCCACCCATCTGGCACTCTATGCTCCCAGCACCCTAACATCACACTTACTGTATATACTTACCGTTTGGTAGAAGCTGTCTAAACAGCTGTCAGGACCTTTAAATTTCAGCTGATCGCTGTGGAAAGGGCACATGGTTTGCCTTCCTTTGACAGTTCTGCTCTGTGAAAGAACTGACAGAATGGAAGTACAGCTCTGCATTTCTGAGGGAGACTTGATGGAATCTCCTTTCAAAAATGCAGAACTCCTTTCCTTCTTAAACAAAGAAGGGCATTCTGTGTGAGATTGTCACTCTTCAGAAGATCCAGCCCGTAACTTTAAACTGGAATTTTATTTGAGTGTATTGTGAAAATTGAGTGTGTTTGAATTTTGGGTTTTAAAACTTAGTTTTTGTGTAGTTTATAATGATGTTTCATTCATTGACTTTTTTTTTTAAAGAAACATGGCGGCCTGTCAATTTTAAATGCAAATTGATTTGTGATGCACTTTCTGATTGTTGAAATTATGCTTATTCTTCTTATTCTGCTTATTTCTCTAATTGAAGAAATACATACAGGAAGCTCGGAACCTTGGAACAAGCATGCGTCAGCCTAAGCTGTCTAACCTGTCTCCATCAGTAATTGCACATACCAATTGGAAGTTTGTTGAGGGCCTATTGAAGGAATGTCGTAATAAGGTAATTTTGTTTTTTTCTGTGAAGTTTTCCTCCTTTTCTTCCTGAAATAGCTCATTGTAACTGGGGGTACAGTGCTGCACACACCTTTCTGCAGCTTACCCAAATGCCAATGTTCATGTCTAAGTCTAGATTGTGATAGTTATATTGTTTGAGCATGAAAATTACTCCAGCCAAACTCAAGCCGTTTTTATACATTAAGGCATTTATTGGATTATAAACTGGAAAAACTTGTATTTTTTTGTGTCCTTCCTCTTCCTCACCCGAGAAATATTCAGGCAGTTATTTCCAAAACCCAAACTGTTTTAGTTGATGAAATTATCTACTTAGTCATGTGTCAAGGATCAAACCTCGGATCATTCTGATCTGCATAATTTTATGCTATTTTGTCTGGTGCATCTGCATCCAGAAGCAATGAGAAATTCTCAACGTTTTTCTACAAGGTCAGAATTGTAATTCTAATTGTTATTTTTCCAATGTGTTTATTAACTCGCAAATATCTCTTTTGCAGACTAAGCGCATGCTAGTAGAGAAAATGGGGAGAGAAGCAGTGGAACTGGGTCATGGTGAGGTGACTATCACAGGAGTGGAAGAAAATACGCTGATTGCCAGTCTCTGTGATTTGTTAGAAAGAATATGGAGTCATGGCCTACAAGTCAAACAAGTAAGTAACCAAGGTAAATCTAAGGGATTTGTAGAGTCATAAAGTGATTGCAGCATAGAAAAGGAACATTCGGCCTGTTGTGTCTGTGCAGGCACAATACTCTGGTTGAGGCTGAACCAGTGTTTTATAAAAGCTCGCAGTGACTTTCTCACTTTCAAGCTCTGTACCACCACTTGTAAGGCTTGTGATTCTGTATACTTTTTAAATCACTTTCGTAACTTTCCTGTCATAGAACTCGGAACGGTATAGCACAGGAGCAAGCCCTCAGCCCATCATGTCCATGCCAACTATGATGCCATTCTAAACTAATCCCATCTTTCTGCATATGGTCTGTATCTCTCTATTCCTTACCTGTTCATGTGTCGATCTAAATGTCTCGTAAACATTGTTATTGTATCTGCCTCTCCCACTTCCCTGGCAGCACAGTTCAGGCACCTATCTTGGTCTGTATGAGAAACTTGCTACGCACATCTCCATTAAACTTTACCCCTTCCACTTTAAATCTATGCCCCCTAGTATTTGACATTTCCACCATGGGAACAGTATTCTGACTATCCACCCTATCTACGCCTCTCATAATTTTACACATTTCTACAGGTCATCCCTCAACCTTCGATGCTCCATTGAAAACAATCCAGGTTTGTCGAACCTCTCCTTAATAGCTAATAAACTCCAATCCAGGTAAATCCTGGTAAACCTCTTTTGTACCCTCTCCAAAGCTTTCACGTCCTTCCTACAGTGTGGTGACCCAAACTGCACATAATAAGCCAAATATGGCCTATCTAAAATTTTATATAGCTACAATATGACTTGTCAACTTTTATACTCAGTGCTCTGACTGATGAAGGCAAGCCTGCTGGATGTCTTCTTTACTAATAATCCACTTGTATTGCCACTTTCAGGGAGCTATGGACTTACATCTCAAGATCTCTCAGTATAGCAATGCTCCTAAGGGTCCTGCCATTTACTGTATATTTTTGTCTTGCATTTGACCATCACCTCACACTTGTCTGGATTAAATTCCATCTGCCATTTCTCCACCCAACATTCCAACTGATATTTATCCTGCTGTATCCTTTGAAAACCTTTCTCACTATCCACAATTTCACCAATTTTTATATCTTCTGCAGACTTATGAATCATACCATCTACATTTTCATCTAAATGATTTACATATTACAAACAACAGAGGTTTTTGTAGAATGGCAATGGTTGCAGACCTCCAGTCAGAAAAATATCCCTCCACAACTACACTCTGTCTTCTGTGACTATGCCAATTTTGTATCCAACTTACCAACTCATCATTGATCCCATGGAACTTAATCTTCTGGACCAGCCAACCATGAAGGATCTTGTCAACTACCTTATTAAAGTCCATACAGACAACATCCTATGCTCCCTAATCTTCTTTTTCACTTCCTCAAAAAGCACAATCAAATTTGTGAGATGAGACCTAACCCGCACAAAGCCATGATGACTATCCCCAATAAGCCCATTCTTTTCCAAATGCAAGTAAATCCTGTCCCTAAGTACCTTCTCTAATATAAGATAACAAGGTGTAGAGCTGGATGAACACGGCAGACCAAGCAGCATCAGAGGAGCAGGAAAGCTGACGTTTCGGGCCTAGACCCTTCTTCAGAAATGGGGGAGGGGAAGGGGGTTCTGAAATAAATAGGGAGAGAGGGGGAGGCGGATAGAAGATGGATAAAGGAGAAGATAGGTGGAGAGGAGACACACAGTTTGTCAAAGAGGTGGGGCTGGAGCCAGTAAAGGTGAGTGTAGATGGGGAGTTAGGGAGGGGATAGGTCAGTCCAGGGAGGACGGACAGGTCAAGGGGGCGGGATGAGGCTGGTAGGTAGGAGATGGGGGTGGGGCTTGAGGTGGGAGGAGGGGATAGGTGGGAGGAAGTTAGGGAGGCGGGTATGAGCTGGGCTGGTTTTGGGATGCGTTTGGGGGAGGGGAGATTTTGAAGCTTGTGAAGTCCACATTGATACCATTGGGCTGCAGGGTTCCCAAGCAAAATATGAGGTGCTGTTCCAGCAACCTTCGGGTGGCATCATTGTGGCATTGCAGGAGGCCCAGGATGGACATGTCGTCTGAGGAATGGGAGGGGGAGTTGAAGTGGTTCGCGACTGGGAGGTGCAGTTGTTTAGTGCGAACCGAGCGTAGGTGTTCCGCAAAGTGGTCCCTAAGCCTCCGCTTGGTTTCCCCGATGTAGAGGAGGCCACAACGGGAACAACGGATACAGTATACCACATTAGCAGATGTGCAGGTGAACATCTGCTTGATGTGAAAGGTCTTCTTGGGGCCTGGGATGGGGGTAGGGGGGAGGTGTAGGGGCAGGTGTAGCACTTCCTGCGATTGCAGGCAAAAGTGCAGGGTGTGGTGGGGCTGGATGGGAGTGTGGAACGGACAAGGGAGTTACGGAGAGAATGGTCCCTCCGGAAAGCAGATAAGGGTGGGGAGGGAAAAATGTCTTTGGTGGTGGGGTCGGATTACAGATGGTGGAAGTGTCGGAGGATGGTGCGTTCGATCCGGAGGTTGGTGGGGTGGTACGTGAGGATGAGGGGCATTCTGTTTTGGTTGTTATTGGGGGGAGTGGGTGTGAGGGATGAGTTGTGGGAAATGCAGGAGACACGGTCGAGGGCGTTCTGGACCACTGAGGGGGGGAAGTTGTGGTCCCTAATAATTCTCCAATAATTTCCTTACAACTGATGTAAGGTCACTGGACTGTAATTTCCAGAATTATCCCTGTTGCCCTTCTTAAACAAAGGAACAACATTAGCTAGTCTCCAGAGATATCAAGAACTGTAGATGCTGGAGTCAGAGACAACACAGTATGGAGCTGGAGGAACATGGCAGGCCAGGCAGCATCAGAGGAGCAGGAAAATTGACTTTTCAGGTCAGGATCTAGTCTCCAGTCTTTTGGGATCTTATCTGTGGCTAAAGAGAATTCAAAGATCTTTGTCAAGGCCCCAGTAATCTCCTCCCTTGCCTTCCTCGGTATCCTGGGATAGATCTCATCAGGCCCTGGTGACTTATCTACCTTAAGCCAACACCTTCTCCTTCTTAATGTCAGCATGCCCTAGAATAACCGTCCCTAATCTTACCATCATACATATCCTTGTCCTTGGTGAATACCAATGTGAAGTACTCATTAGGACCTCACCCACTTCCTCAAGCTCCATGCATAAATTCCTAAACTTTGTCCTTGAGTGGACCTATCCTTTCCTAAGTTACTCTTTTGCTCCTATTACATAGATGTAAAATGCCTTGTGATTCTCCTTAATCCTACTTGCCAAGAAAATTTCATGGCCCTTTTTAATCCTTCTAATTCCTTGTTTAAGTTGTGGAGCTGGAGAAGCACGGCAGGTCAGACAGTGTTGGAGGAGCAGGAAAGTTGACGTTTCAGGTCTGGACCCTTCATCAGGACCTGTGAGTTGACTTTCCTGCTCCTCCAACGCTGTCTGACTTGCTGTGCTTCTCCAGCTCCACATTTTATTGATTTTGACTTCCAGCATCTGCAGTCCTTACTATCTCACTCTTTGTTTAAGTTCTTGCCGGCTTCCTTCATATTCATTCAGGGCCTTGACAAATTTCAATTTCCTAAACCTCACATACACTTCTTTTTTTCTTTTTGATTAATCTTTCAATATCTCTCGTTATCCAGGGTTCTCAAATCTTGCCATCCTTATTTTTTATCCTCACAGGAGCGTGCTAGCTTTTAACTCTGATCAACTGGCCTTTAAAAGACTGTCACATATTAGATGTGCATTTACTATTAAAAACTGCTGCCCAGAATTAATTTCTCCAGCTCCTGCCTAATACTGTTGTAATTAGTCTTCACCGATTTAGCACGTCCACCTGAGGACCAGTCTTATTCATAACTATCTTAAAACTTACAGAATTATGATCACTGTTCCAAAAATGCTCTCCCACTGAAACTTCAATGACCTGGCCAGTCTCATTCCCCAAACAAGGTCTAGTACGACCCCTTCTCTAGTTGGACTATCTACATATTGTTTCAAGAAACCCTCCTGGATGCACCTAACAAATTCTGCCTCAGCTAAGGCTCTGGAACTAAGGGAGTCCCATACAATATTGGGGAAATTAAAATCACCCACTACAAAAGCCCTGTTGTTTTTGCGTCTTTCCATGATCTGCTTACATATCTGTTCCTCCATCTCCTGCTGGCTATCGGTAGGCCTATAGTATAACACCATAATAGGGATTGAACCTTTCTATTTCTGAGTTCTACCCACAAATTCTTGCTGGATGAGCCCTCCAAGATGTCCTCTGTTAGTGGAGCTGTGGCATTATCTTTAATCAGTAATGCAACTACCCCACCCCTTTAACATCCCTTTTTCTATCATGCCTAAAACATCTAAACCCTGGAACATTGAGCTGCCAATCCTACCCTTTTCTCAACCAAGATTTTGTAATGGTTATAACATCATAGTTCCATGCACTAATTCAGGCACTAAGCTGATTACCTGTTTACTTCAAATCGCCAGTCCTGCCATGTTCATTAACCTGGCCCTGCCTGTTCTTCCTATCAAACTTATTTGACTTAACATCTACCTTCTTCTCAATCACTGCACATGCTGACCTACTGCCCTGGATCCCACTCCCCTGCCACACTAGTTTAAACTCTGTCAAGTGGCACTAACAAACCTCCCTGCAAAGATATTGGTGCCCCTCTGATTTGGGTGCAAACCGTCCTTCTTGTACAGGTCATTCCTGTCCTGGAAAAGATCCCAATGATCCAGACATCTGAAGCCCTCTCTCCTACTCTAGCTCTTCAGCCATGCAAACAGCTATATTATCTTCCTAGTTCTAGCCTCAGTAGCACGTGACATAGAGTGTAATCCTCAGATTACAAGTCTAAAGGTCCTGTTTTCAACTTGCCACCGAAATCCCTAAATTCCCTTTGCGAGACCTCATCTGTCTTCCTGTGTATGTTGTTAGTATCAACATGGTCCATGACTTGTGGCTTGTCC